CTGCTGCAAAGTGGTGGTTGCGTCAGCGCGTCTCTGAGGCGACCAGGCTCTAGGGTGGCCGCTGCCCTGAAGCCTCCTTGCTGGGGGGCGTCACTGAACGCTGAACCTCGTCCCACGTGCCACTCGATTGGGTCTAAATGCAAGCAGACTGTGATAACATTCGGCCCTGCGTACTGAAACCGAGATCAGTTAGCGAGGCCGAATCGTGCGGCAGAAATGGGGGGGGGGGGGAAGCAACAGCCTCGCGCAGGACGCAGAGCCGGGACGGGGTACGGACAGAGCGCCGCGGCAGCCGCCTGCTCGCTCGGACGCACGGCAATGTCGATGAATACATCGGTCTGTCCTCTTTTATCGCCGGCCTCACAGTAACTGCTCCCTCTGCCCACGGCAGCTGTTTTATTAGGGAGCAGTAATTACCTGCCACAGATTTCATGTAACTTTGACGAGCGCGATTGCCCCCTGCGTTGCCGGCAGTCAACGCACCCCTCCTGCTTTTGGTTACGCCGCTAGGTTGCCAAGCCAGACGGAGTACATCGGTCTGTCCTCTTTTATCGCCGGCCTCACAGTAACTGCTCCCTCTGCCCACGGCAGCTGTTTTATTAGGGAGCAGTAATTACCTGCCACAGATTTCATGTAACTTTGACGAGCGCGATTGCCCCCTGCGTTGCCGGCAGTCAACGCACCCCTCCTGCTTTTGGTTACGCCGCTAGGTTGCCAAGCCAGACGGAGACCTGCGGTTCACCGTCCTCAATTCCTCGATACTGGAACGACCCAGAGCACTCGCTCTGGTTCCCCGAGACGGGTAAGAAAGAAAGCATCGCGAGTATTGCCTCCTCGGAGCAGAGATCGCAAAGTGTTGTCCCTTTCGATTTAACTGCTATTTTCCTACCCGTACCGATTTGCTAGTCGGCAGCTTTACCGGCCAGTAAAACTGGTCTGCTCAGTGGGGCGAGCTGCAGCGATACGCGCGAAACTGAGCTGTACTCCAAGTCGAGACCCAAATGTAAGTTCTGTCTTTCCGAGTACGGTTTTGCCACGGCTGCTGCGCTGCAAACATCGCGCTGACAAACCTGAGCTGCCGTTAGCCGCCGGCGCTAAAGCAAAGCAGTTCGAAGCGAGTTAACCTGCAGCTGCACTCGCACCACAGAACCCGCAGCTCGGTGAGCCTCTGTGCCGCTCGCAGATCTGCTGGTGATATTCATTAGAACTGCAGAGAGCTCCCTTTCCAAAGGCACGTCTCGCCAGAGAAGTGGAACGTCAAGTATTCACACCTCTGCTTCACAACCCGTTCCCTTTTCGTGAGCTGTTCTGTTCTTATTTCGAATGACCTCTCTGCCTGTCGTCAGGCTGATGTTCTGGACAGACTGGGGAGACTCCAGAGCCGGCATTTACAGAAGCGACATGGACGGGTCCTCGGCCGGGTGCATCGTTTCGGAGGGCGTGCGGTGGCCAAACGGCATTTCTGTGGATGACCGCTGGATCTACTGGACCGAAGCCTATATGGACAGGATCGAGAGGGTCGATTTCAATGGGCTGCGGAGATCCGTGATCCTGGACGGCCTCCCTCACCCCTACGCTATTGCAGTGTTTAAGGTAAGCGTGCGGCGACTCGTTTCCCGTCGGTATGCGTTTCCGTAGCAGACACGCTCGGAGCTTGCTGCGCGTATGGGGCGGGCGGCAGAAGAGCATCGAGCACGCTGGATTCGGAGGGCAGGAGCTGGCACGGTGCTCGCTCTCTTTCTGCTCCGGCACATTCCCACACACCCCTGAAACGAGCAGGCGGGTGCAGTTGAAACCGGGACCGCCATCCAGGAGACGTGCAGCTTTCCCGAGCAGCTGCGCCGCGCTGTCTGCCCCAGACTGCGTGCCGCCCGGCAGACGTGTCCATTGCTTCCGTTCCCGTTCAAATCCCAGCCCGGGTCATCCTCATCTTCCCCCCTCTTGGGCTGGGGAGTCATGTCGGTGTCCCCTCTCTTCCAGGCGGTTAGGGGGGCTGAGTGCAGGTAACCGCTGACGAGCACGGCCCCGCCAGCGCTGCTCCTCGCGCTGAGAGCAAAGCCTGTGTTTCAGAATGAAATCTACTGGAACGACTGGTCACAGCTGAGTATTTTCCGAGCATCCAAAACCAGCGGCTCTAGAATGGAGATCTTAGTCGGCCGATTAAATGGGATCATGGATATGAAAATCTTTTACAGAGGAAAAACAACAGGTAATCGTGTGAGTGCGCACGTGATCTTTCCTGCTACTTAGAAATGCGCTCATCCCCCCTATGCACAGGTTCCCAGGCCGCTGGCCCTTCCCAGCTCGCATTTCGTGAGCCTGAACGTATCCCCGTTCCTGCAGGGTCTGAAGCACTCGGGCGCTGCGGCAAGGAACGTGTTTCGTTAGCATTGCGCCTGACTTCTTGGCGGCCGAGAGAGACACTCCTTTGTCGGGGGAGAGCCCGTAGAGCGCTCGGCTGGGGTGGCACCTCGTAGTTGAGGTCCCAGTCCGTGGTCTTCCCGTGCAAAGTGCTGTACGATCCCCAAAAAATACAGGGTCTCAGAGCTGCATAACTTTGTCCTCTGCTTACTCTGGGCTGCAATAAGGTAGCGGCGGCCCCTGCATAACGAACGCGCTGAAGGGATTGGCTTCATTTTCCGATGGGTGTAAGACCATCAAAGGGCTTTGTCAGTCGGCAGCCTGCGAGAGACTGGGAGGACCTTTAAGGCCCTTGAGATCCCTGGAGCAGATGGCTCTCTGCGTTTCTAAGGCCAGTCTCAGCACTCGGCGCTGCAGAGCTGGCTCCGTACGGGGGGCTGACCTCATAGCCTCGGATGGTAGGCGAAATCTGGCTTCCCGCGGTGTCTCCAGCCCTCCGTCCTGACTTTGTCCCCTTCCTGCCCCTCCTCGTGCCAGGGGAGAACGCCTGCATCGCCAAGCCCTGCAGCCTGCTCTGCCTGCCCAAGTCGAACAACGGCAGGAGCTGCAAGTGTCCCGAGGGGGTGTCCAGCACCGTGCTGCCCACAGGGGAGGTGAAGTGCGACTGTCCTCACGGCTACCTCACGAAGAACAACACTTGCGTGAAGGAAGGTAACACCGCGCTCGGTTCTGGCTGCTGCCGCATGTTGAGAGGAGGTTGCTGCCGTTGCGAGAGGTCAGCTCGACCTTTCTGCCGCCCCTTGGGCGAGGAGGAGTACGGCCTGTCTTCCAAAAGCGCGCCGTCATGCCTGATGCCAGCTCGTTTTTGTTTTCCCTTTTGCACCAGAAAACACGTGTCTGCCGAACCAGTACAGATGCTTCAATGGGAACTGCATAAACAGCATTTGGCAGTGTGACAACGATAATGACTGTGGGGACATGAGCGATGAGAAGAACTGCCGTAAGTGTCCCGCTGTGGCATTCGCCCGTCCCAATTTAGATGTCTGCTGTGTCGGCGTCGCACCCGAGCCGATGGGCTACGCTCCCTTCATAGTCCAGGAGAGCGAGAGGCGCTCGGGGCGTGCAGTGAGTCGTGTCTGGTCGCGTGAGTTGTGTCCTGCAAGGGCCGATATTTCCCCTTCGACTAGCTCGGGCCCAAGCGTCTAAAATTCGGTGAGACCGATAGCAGCCCTCCTGTGAGGACGCATGTTTGTCGCTTGCAGTAATTGTCTTCTGAACCTAATTGAGGGCACAGCCAATGGCAGGGAAAAGGGTGCACACAGAAGGTGACTTTCTCTCTTCGTCGGGCAGCCGTGGGCCTCTCGTTGAACTAGTAAATCAAGTTCACACATTAAAAATGGCGGTCACCTTTTCGAGTACAATTAGGGACTGCCAGCGCTTGAGGGAGGGGCAGATGTTACGTGGCTTCGCAGAGCCTGCAGGGTTTGAATTAGGGCACCGTGGAAAAAGGGCTGGGTTTAAAGTTAGGAATCGGTGGAGGCCCCTGGCCTCTGAGTGAACGTGGCAGACTTCGGTCAGCATCCTTGGACAGACAGCTAACACCTCCCTGCTCCGCTTTACGCAGAGTGCTTAATTACGACAATAACAGGCAATTACCGTAATTCAGGCTGCACGGAGCCAAGCTCGCAGGATGCTGTCCCGCTCCCCTCAATTCCCTGCCCTAAGTGCACACGCTTGGGTGGCAGGAACCATTAACTAACCATACCCTCGACCTCCTCCTCCTCCTCTCCGCCACATTAGCCACCACCGTGTGCGATGCCGAGACCCAGTTCCGCTGCCAGGGCTCGGGGACCTGCATCCCGCTGTCCTACAAATGCGACCTGGAGGACGACTGCGGAGATAACAGCGACGAAAGTCGCTGCGGTGAGTGCCCTCGCTTAAACCGCCTTCCCTGTGTCCGTGCAAGGGTGGAAAACCCAGCAGTATTGCGAGGCAGGGCACTACTCGTAGACGCTGTAGGGCGAGACGCCGCTTCGCCAGATCTCCCTGTTTATCCCGGCTACCAACTGCCTCCTCCCATCGTTTCATACGTACTGGGAAAGGGGGGACAGGAGAGGAGAACGACGCTCGTTCTCCCCCTCCCTGTGGTCCAGCGGAGAGCGCGTTGTGCCGTTATGATCCAGCTCTCCCGCTCTGCTCCTTGGGCTCTCCTGGGACCCGAAGCCAAGTGTTTGGTCGAGATTACAAGCTGACCTTGCGCGGCTGCCCAGCGAGCGCATGGGAGGCGTGGGTCGCTCAGTGTTGCAATGTTTGTGGCCATCCACTTTCAGCTTAGCGATTCGGAGAGGCGGGTTCTGAGCTGCAGGAGAGAAGAGGCTGCTAAACATCAAGGCGGTAGCTCTTGGTCATTCAGGGCTAGGGACGAGGCAGGCAAACGTGCTTTCTAGACAAGTGTGCTTTGCAAGGCTATGTGGGCAGTCGCCTCTGAGATACCAGCCTCCTCTCCTCGGTCAACAGCCCGTGTGAAGTTTTTCCGCTCCTCTTCCCCGGCCCCGACAGCATCTGAACCGCGTGCGCTTGTTTGCAGAGGCTCACCGGTGTAGACACGATGAATTCAGCTGCAGCTCGGGGATGTGCATTCGTCTCTCCTGGATGTGTGATGGTGATAACGATTGCAGGGACTGGTCGGATGAAGCAAACTGCACCGGTAAGCGCTTTGATGCCATCCATAACCTTCAGTTGCAAACACTCACTGCTTAAAGCCTGAGGTGCTGTAAGGCATTGACCCAAGTCTCGTGCCTCAGTTTCTCTGCTCGTTAGCTGAGCCCCCCCGGCAAGGCAGCCGGGCAGCCCGCGGCTCAGCTCGGGGTGACGTAATGCTCCAAAGGCAAAGGGTTTCTTATTTTGGCTTGCCACTCTTATTGATGCAACCCGGTTGCCAGAAATAGTATTGTTCCCAGTTTACGCCTCCTGTGCAGCAAGTCCCACACCCGTGAGCCTCGCGGTTGAAAGTCACAACGCTCAACCGTCCTTAGCACCACAGGGTAAAAGCGATTTCCGTCAGCAGTACCCTACAGTTAACACCCAGACAGACACCTTCCCTGGTTAGAAATGCCAACAGATAACAACGTACTGGTCTTCTCCATTAAAAAACAACCAACCAACAAAACACCCGAAAAACAAACAAGCCAAAAAACTACGTACTTGCCCGAGAAGCGAGTTCTGAGAGTAGGCAGCACTTCAGTCCACCACTGAAAGGCATAAGATCGTACTTGTAAAGTAATACGCGGGATATTTCAAGGTAAAAGCAGTGGTTTCCATGCCACGCGACTGAGCTCAGCCCGTCAGAGCCCGGATACCGGCAGCGGCTTTGCTCCGGCTGCATAGAAGACGGGGGCGCAGGGACAGGCAGAGGGCTGGCTGCTGTCGTGGGGCTCTGGCACGAGGGTCTAGGAGATCCTTTGCAGGCCTCCGAGCTCCCGTGGGTTCGTCCCCCACGGCGTTTGCTGTGTCTCGAGCATACGGGGTTTATGGCGTGGCACTGGGGATCTTGGCCGTTAGTATTCCGAGGGTGTAAGAAGGTTTAATTTATATTGGGATCACTTATCTCGCATACGAGTTTCTCCAGAGAGAATTAACACAGGAAAGGAACCTACTTCAAAAAGCGTATCGGGCGTGTAAAGCCTACAGTTGAAATTATCTAAGAGGATCACAATTATTTGAGAAACATTTCATCTGACTTCACCGGCTTCAATTATTGCTCTTATCTAAAATAATTACATTTCACACTGAATACCTAATAGAATATTACTGCCACGAGACTGCAGCATTGTGAAATATCTGCAAGTGAATGTCACTCGCTCACCTAAAATTCAGTAGCATGCAAATTAATTAAGTTGAACGTTGCTTTTCTTCTCGATAACGACGAGTGCTCTCCTGGATGAAGATTGGTATTCCTCTCTCAAATGACAACGTCGCCTGGGCTTCAACCAAGATACCCCACAGGCAGATATTTTGCTGATATTTGGAGCTGTTCAGCCTGGAGAAGAGAAGGCTCCTGGGAGACCGATGGCGGCCTTGCAGTGCTTAAAGGATGCTTATAAGAAAGATGGAGACGCACGTTTTAGCAGGGCCTGTTGTCTTTTTAGCAGGGCCTGTTGTGACAGGACGAGGGGTCACGGTTTCACACTGAAAGAGGGTACAGTCGGACTGGATATAAGGAAGGAATTCTTTACAATGACGGTGGTTAAACCCTGGCACAAGTTTCCCAGAGAGGTGGTCGAGGCCCCGTCCCTGGAAACATTTAAGGTCGGATTGGACAGAGCTCTGAGGGACCTGATTTAGTTGAAGATGTCCCTGCTCGTGGCAGGGGGGCTGGACTAGATGGCCTTTAAAGGTCCCTTCCAACCCAAACGATTCTGTGATTCTATGATATTTTTGTGACAGGAGCATCAGGAAAGCCAGGGCCCCACTCTGTTGGAAACCCAAAGAGAATTGTATTTCTGTTTTGCTTTGGCAACACGGAAAAGCCTTGCCTGCCTTAATGGAAGGCTGTCTCTGCGTCTGTCCTGCCCTGCGCGGGGGACCCTGTCGCTCCACCGAGGCTTGCTCGCTCGCTGTGATGTTTCTTGCCATCCCTGGCAAGACGCCACCAGCATCCCCTTTTCCTGCACGCACCGAGGACCGAGATCAAAGGGGAAGAGGCTCCTGACTTGGGGAGAGCTTTAGGAGCGCTCGCTAGCCTCCGACAGCCTTTCCTGAGGCACAGCAGGCTTGTGAGCAAGCACGGCACAGAGAGAAAAAGACCACGGCGTGACCGAGGGGAACGGGGACTCCCGGCAATCCCTTGCCTGGGGCCCACAGGGCGGTCGCTCGTGCTGTGGAGCTGCGCTCGGTGCCGGGACCT